TGCATACTTCTGACGCGATATCTACACCTTTATATATTAAACATTTTGAACAATAGAAATGTTTAATAACAATAAAAGGAGGAACAATATTTTTAATATAAGAAAATAATGAATGTAAAGTTTTGGGCATCAAATTTGGCTGAGGAAGCATATTATTTATGACTATTAACATATCCTCTAAGTTAGATTTTGTCATTCTATGTTTGACATAAAGATTTATTAAATTATAAACAGTTTCATCAATAGTTTGAGCATATCATTAAATAAAACATTCTTACTATTGCTATAAAAATTGCAAAATATACTTTCATTAAAATCTGTTGAATGCCCATCATCATAATTACATAAAGATTTTCGTATATCAATTGCATTATAATTTATCAAATTATTATTATCTAATACCACAATATCATTTTCGTAATCATCGACAATATGGTTAGATTCGCAAATTTCATCATCGGATGCCTCATTTATAACATCACTACAACTTCCAGAACTTAACTAATTATTCTCATTATTTGGAAATTGTGTAAAATTTTATTAATTTCCATTTTATTAATTTCATTGTCATTTTCATTCATATTAGGAATTGATAGTGCAATTTTTTTTTTCCATCGTTGACGGTTTCTGACAGGGATCTAATTGCATAAAAACATTTCAATTATATTTTATAACGTTGATCTTTTATATATAATATAAAGAAAATATAAAAATAGTTTTCATACATACCGAGAAATTTTTATTTTGTTTCCACAGTTTCTATTTTTTTCGTGGAAATGTATCATATTCACTGGCCATTTTCTTAAATATAAAAGATATGCAAAAAATTTATATTATTACCGAGATTGCTTTTAATTATGTTTTTACAATAAAATTATAATTATACAAATTATGGTAATTTTATATTTAAGTTATAATTATAATTATTAAGCTTTCAGTAAATATATAATTTAATTAAATTAAACCTATAAAAATCTTTATTAGTATTTTTATAGTTTTCCAGTACACTATTTGCCATATATTCGTCGATCATCTGAAACATATTATATTATGGTATCATCGATCGATCGAGTATTTAACGTCGCAACATTAAACGAGACGTTTCTTTACTTACCATCTTTTATCATTTCAACTCAACATTATCTATTTGCTAGGGTTCTCCACATTAATAGCGCAAAATAATTTTTTGCATATACATACGCCACTGTAATTTTTTATCGCACGAAAGCCTAACTGGGAACCGCGACACAGAGCGTTCTTCTCGAAGCACACTAATAATCATTAATGCCTTCTCGCTGTTTCTATACATATATGCATGTGTTTCACATAGGTTATGTTACATATACTATAGAAAATTTGGACCGACATTCATTCCTTTCTTGAACGCTGGGTCT